TAGACTGCTACCTTCCAGCTGACAATTGTATGTATTTGTTGAACTGTAGATCTCGGAAAGTAGCACAGGCCTGTTATTTCTCATCATTTTTCACTACAGTCAGCAATCGAAGCCGACCCAGACATAAGACAAAGATAAAATTCAGCGACAAAATAAAACAAGTAAATGGACAAAACCAACAATTTTATTGAGACAATAATTCACAAAAATAATGTGGGGTCGCTACATACATAATATTATCCTAATTGACTAGATTCTGAACTAGATCATGTAGAGACTGAGCCTCAAGAGATATGTCATTATGGCCGAAGTCTAAATTTGATTTAACACTTAACAACTAGATTTTGTCATAAGAATACCAACTATAATACTAGAAGACGTGTTCTTTACGTTATATTGCACCAAATTCAGCAGATTTTCGTTTGGCTAGCCGACTACAATTAACTATAGATATAATTGAGTCATTAGTTATTTGTCTAGTGTTGCTAGATTAAATTAAGCTTTAAGTGTTGCCAGATGACACATAACATTTAATTCGAGATTAGTCTATTCTGAATTTATACAAAACTCTTATACGGTTAGACAATTAATGCAACATTTAAAGAGACCTGGTTTGACTTACCTACTATAGTACAAATGATTTTTATTGTAAAGAGCCACGCCTTCGCACATCAAAATCTATACGAAATATTATTATAAAAAGTAAAAACAAAAATATTGCACATGAAACATAAAATGGAAGTAAAACCTTCGATGACGGTACTGTGGACACATTATTACACTAAATTACACAACACCTAGACGTATTAATGGTAAAATTGGCTGTCGGCGCTAACCAGCACCTCTGTATCTTTAAACTTGTAAAAACTTAATAGCACTGCAACAAATAGTGCAGTGCGGTGTCAACAAAATATTGAAATACTCCTGAAACCATCATAAGAACTGTATACGGAAGGAATCTGTGGGCACGGCAGTGCTCCAGCCAAGTCAAGAATACGGAAGGAATACTGATATCTTAAAAAGACACAGCCGTTAATACTAAATTATAAAAAAGGGAAGACAAATTGTTTGAGTATATTATTTAAAAAATTGAATAATCACCGGGCACAACTTTTTAACTGCTATTGTTAATGACGTCACAAGTGCATGAAACAAATGTACACTAAATACTACCTCTAATACTCTTAACACTTGGCGTTTGTTTCTTAAGAAAATAGAAATAAAGTCTAATATTGTTTGTTTTACCGAAAAATATTACAATAATCAAAAGCGACTCATTCAATAATGATATTGCACAGGCATTGTAGTATTCAAAAACTTCTAAAACGATTATATTATATAATATATACAAAAATAATTTATTATGCTAATTAGCAGCGAATGCTAGCTCGATGGTAAGAGCTAATTTACAATAAACGTGTTAAATTGAGACTATAGAAACAGTGTTTTGATAAATGGAAACTTTTGGCGTATGTCACAGGGCTCACAATCTTTTGATTACTAATTTCAAACCCTATAACATTTTTGTAAACTAAATCATGGCCCTATGTTAATTTGACGGTAAATTTTCATTGTCTATTTGTTTCTATTAAACGAAATAATCCTTTATGTTTTGCATAATTAAGTCTACTATAACTGTATGAACGTTTTACTTACGTCATATGGTTATTTGTATATTATTTTCTTATTTATTTGCTACCTCATTTTATACTTGACTATTGTTACTCGAACAAAGAAAGCTATAAGCCAAGGAAGATGGCATAGTATCGTCGTAACTGAGCATCATATTAATTTTAGAATAAATGCCATTATTGAAATACCCACTTTACCTATCAAGTGATTAGGTAGACTTTTGTGTGGCTTTCAGGTATTCAAGTTAAATACTCGGCTCTTAAGCAAAACACTTTGTTCCACCAACTTTCGTATATGGTCGTTTCATTTTATAATATTTACGGCCACGTTTCTCAATCCGCTTAGCTTATTAACAATCTTTTCACTCATATCATTCCACAAAATATTCGAAAATTCTTACACTCTTTTAAACTTCTTTTTTCATACACTTCAATGGCCGGATTAAAGATTCCCTGATATTTTAATTAAGTACCGTACAATCACTAATTACATCTATTTAAATAACGCAAGAGATCGGAAGAACTGGGCACAACGCGAGTCTATCGAATTATTGTGGCTTGTTAATTTGTTTTATTGTAATAAACAACTGCCTCGGGATTTTAAAATCGCATCAAAATCCATTCAGATATGACTGAATAAATAGCGAACAGACATACAGACGCGGATAGGATTTAAAATCAGATTTAACAAAATCGCGTAAGTAACACGACATTATTTATTTCATGCTGTGTTTATTGTACCGCAGTTATTGTTTATAGTACTTATACAGTTATTTTTTTGGTATGAGAGTAGACGTTTAATGTATAAGAAAGGAGGTATTATTTCACATTTGAGTTTTTGTTTAAGACATAGCCTACATTCAGTTGTGGACGGTGGTAGGCTGAACTAAGTTGATGAATGAAGAAAGTACAGCGTTTTACTGCGACTAAATAATGTACATCGCTTATAAAACTTATAGAACTGATATATGATTATATTTCAAAATAATAAAGTTGGGTAGGCGCTTGTATATCAATATACAAAATTAACAAACCACAATAAAAACATTTGGCAATGAACATCTAATACTTATGTATTTAATCCTAAATTGTACTAGCAACATAGCTTAACAGGAAAAATAAAAAGATCTGAACTATTCTTGTTATTCGTTCTTGAGGAATGGTTGCTTGAAAAACGAGGTTTTTTCATTGAGGGGATAAAGAACCAACAATCTAATATACCAACCAAGTATGACCCATCCCTAATATTAAGTTGAAAGAAACCTTGAGAGAATCTCAGAATCCAATTAGAAAAATAACAAAGAAAGCAATAATCATCAATACATTTGGAGTGTTCAAGAAAATCAAAGCAGCTTGCATGACCTCAAAGTACATGAACTTAGCGATCAAGACTAACTCACTTTAATGAAGCCTATTTACGGAATAGTTCATGACAAATTCTCGTTTAGAGTTCTCTGTATCCAGAAGTCATAATAAAAGGGCCGAAGCACGCTTTTTTTTCTTCAGGGGAAAATCATCAAATGACCACTCCCGCCCAGGGTAAGGAGAGAGCGAGTGTCAGACTCTTACTGACTAAAAACCACCACGTTCCTTTTCCTGCTCTGGGCTGAGGCCGCGGTAACTCATTACGTTTATAACCCGCAAGCCCGGCTTGAACATCAGCTCTATAGGGCCCAATCTGTGGTGGTCTGTTGGCTCTTAGAGGCGTGGAACGCTACGCGCCGTGCGCTCGGGTCTGAAACCGTTAATGATTCATAGATCTGAAAATTGGAAGTACATCTCCCAACTATGTACTAGTGGTGGCAATAATTCCTATGTTGTAATAAAAACTGCTGAGAACAAGATGGATGGGTCAATGGGTCATACGATGCCTTCACTCTGAATGCATTACTTGCAATCTGCAACTCATTGGGAGAAACGGTTTTCAACAAAGCTCTTAGCCTCTACCTATTAGGGAATGAGTCAAAGGAGGTATAAGCACTGGTTCTACGCGAGAATAGTTTAGAGCTGGATGTCCTGGATTGGAAATTCTCGTGACGAAACCTTTTGCAATGTTGAGGAAACTATTTAAAGATTTAATGGCGTTCGAGAGAAAAACTTCTATACTTAAAAAGACAAGTTAAATGAGTGCATAATGGACAATTCCTTGGGAATGTATTTCCTCAACTCTTTTCTATTTTTTGTCAGGACTCATAACAAATAGTAGTCGGATTCTAGTTATGGTAATTGAGGGTTGACCATCCATTGAACAAGATTTATAGACTAATGTTATGTATATTTGTACTATACCATTTAGGCTCAAAATATTCATAGGCACGGATCCTAAAAAAATACATTTTTGAAATAGTTTCTAGTAAAGTCACTCACTGCTCGGTTTAATGTACGAAGGTTAATATTCACATATCTATAATAGCCGTCTATATCAATCTTGGATTACATATTTGTTTATGAATCCCTTTCCAATGTAGATTAGTCGGAACCACCGACAAACGTGAATAAGATCAGGAATAGTATTTCTATCGTTACCACACTCCTCAAGAATAAAAGAGACAAAAAGCAATTCAATGCTCTTCGAAGACGCATATTTCACTGTCACCACTTTACATAAACAAGAACGTACTTATAAAAACGGATTGAGTTTCAGTTTTACATATCAAAAATAGCATTTTAAATTATTTAGGCAAATTTTATTTAGCGTGCTTCCTATTCATAGTTCATAATCGATATATTTGTCTTGAGCAAAAGTTTATCAAGGAATGTATTAAAAAATAATGAGATCATTTTTATAATGTGTGTTACGTTTCATTTAGTAACAGGATTACAAATAAAATGATAGCTTAATCCTAATACCTAAGATTAAAGGGCGCGGAGTATAATATCCTACGAAATCTGAAGACAATCCTAGAATTAATAATAATAATTAATTTAAACTTTATTTCAATGATATTCCTTAATAATTAATTGATTTATTGTAAGACAAAAATGCCAATATTCTGGACTTTGTTTTTATATTGAAACTGTCCGCAAACCGCTGGTATGGTATAACAATGCGTAGTACTGGACGTCGCAATGAACTTACTAGTATTTACACGTAACCCTAGGTCATTTGATTCCAATCCTGCTCATAGATGAAACGTTGTACAGGTAACGGGGACATATGTTTAGATGAGATGGAAGATAACTCTCTACTTGATCTGAGAGTGTTGTCTCTGTCTTCGCCACGACCAATAGGCTGGCTGGTATCATTATATATGTTTTATACGTCCCCTTATACTAATACATTTGTGAAAATACAACGCTTTAAGAAACCTAGGCTAGGGGCAGGTCAGGCTAGGCCATTTCTATCTCTATCTACATGAGTTATATGCCACCGCTACCTGTACTTCTTACAGCTAAATACTAAAATACTGAACAAGATTTACATAATTCACTTGCTATGCGAAGATGGTGCGTCGTAAGCTCGATCAATTCAGCTCATTCATCCGATTCTGAAACGTTGAAAAAAGAACATCAGTTATTTTAAAAGGGATTATCAAAGTGCCACCTCCTTTCGTTCACTACAGATAAAATATATTTACAAGTTTTATCACTACTTACATTTTCGCAGATTTTTTGTTGAGTTTCTGATATAAAGATCCTTTAGCGAGACCGGCGGCTCCTTTCGCGAGACCTGAGGGGCCACGAGCGAGGGAGAAGGGTCTTTCACGGGTCTCCGGCCCCTCAGGCTTGACACCTTGGCCACTACGCAAGTCAGGGTCTGGTCCCGTCCATGGAATATAGTCCTCTCTAGAAATTACAACACATATTTTATGTAGAAGTAGCACACGTTTTGAATTAAAGAATAATACCTTCATGTTTCAACATTCAAGTAAACTCCATGGAATATTTTAGAAGTCTCAAAGTATCACAAAAAAATGGGTTATTATATTTAAAATTACTACAGAAATATGTTTAAAGTTCCAAGTTTCCTTCAACAAACTAAAAACCAAACAAAAGTAAGGGTTCCATTTTAATTCGGCTCATTCGAATTAAATGATTAAGCGTGTATTGCGAATATCGCTGCTTAAGTGGAAGAAAGAAATAGAGTACTGCGGTAGCTGACATAATTAACATTATAGTAGTGGTTAGTAGCGTAGCATAGCAGGTCGTTGAGTTAAGACGCCTTTTTGTGCAATAACAACAAATCATCAACCTTATTCCACTTAAAGATAAAGTTCAAATTATGCTCCCAAAAACAAACGCTTAATAAAACTAACTTATATTATTAAGAATTCATTACTTGTTTGATTAAAATTCCTCCGATGAAATGATACCGCATTGCATACCACTCGCGACGTAAACATTTAAATTACAAGTACATAAACAGTCTGCCTTATACCTTCTTAAACAATAACACGGAACACAACAAACAAAAACAATCCTTATACACACTTTCCTAAAGTCTAAATACATACAGTAGCAAACTGTCCTTTGGTCCTTGTCGTAGCGAAGGATTAGGACCTTTCGTGGGCGAGGAATACTGTGACTTGAACTTGGCATCCACGCTGCTACTGGTCTTCAAAATTGGCCTGCAACATTCGCAGTCCAATAACTGAACCAATGTTTTAAGAAAATATTGAAACAACACGACGGCATGCACCTAACAGACTACAGAAGTTAGTATTCTAAGGAAATCTTGAAGCTAGTGCTTCCGAAGTAACTGGTGGTAGAAAGTGACTATGAGGAAGCTAAATAATAATAAAATGGTCATGAACATGATGGCTACTGACTAATAAGATCTAGCTAGGCATGATGAACTGAATCTGTTTTAGCTAACTGAAAATTCATCAACCATTTCCAGATTGTTTCAAAAATTAGAACTCAAGACTAAAGGTTTTGTCTAATATGCAATGATGGCTGCTATGGTAATTTTTGACGTAATATCTACACTTTCAAGATCACAATACCTCTAAGAAACATATACCACACACAAACCCGCCATTTAAACAAAGAAAAATCACACGAAACATTGTTAACGTTATTTTAAAACATTCCTATTCATACACTTAAATAAATAAAAATATGATTTACAAATAAACCTACAACAATATGCATACAATTTAATATTATAAATGCCTCAAATCACTAAACTTCAAACTTTACAATCTTAAAAGCAATTCTTGCAAAAAATCTACTATTTTTTATATTATTGGTAAAATTATATCTAAGTCAACTTTGTAGACTGCATGCCACTCCTAATAAATATAAACATAACTATTTTACATAAAGAAATAATTACTGTAATAGCAAAAGCTTTTTAACCAGTCGTAAGCCTTGGACTACCAAACACACATCATGCCATACAAAACTTATGTCAAACACAATTCACACGGCTAGCTATCTCAAAACAGTCACAAAAAACATTCAAAATAACACTTATTACGTTTTTGTTCACACATACATTTTAATTTGTACTGTCACAAGGTGGGATTCAGCAAGGAGCGATATTGGGTCCAATTCGATTTTTATTCAACGTCTCCAGTAATATTTATAATGACTATGTAACAATTTTATTATAAATACAATTAGTAATGGTGTGAATACGTACTATGTTCTACGTTATTTTAATATTCAATACTGATTAGGTACTTGATAACTATTGCCACTTGATAATTATTTCTTTAAGTAGCAAGTGCACAATGATAATTGACGATAAATCATTGTACTTCAGAACATCATGTGCCGTAAAATCAATTAGAATTATACGGCTAACAATTTGTCCTCTTTTTTCGTGTTTAGCAGTTTTTATACTTGATTAACGAATGATTATAAATTTATAAGTTATGATATGATTATGAATCAGACAAATGGTTCATAATATAAGTGAGTTATTTTCATTAATACCAAAAATATTTTATAAATCAGGAATGGCTGTCTAAATATGAAACATTATTGGAGACGGATATCAACGGATAACAAAAGCTATAGCGTAACAAATAAGACCCAATTTCGTCAAGCGAGAGTAACATACTTCAAGTGCTCGGTCCATGTCTTGATGCGGCGGGATGCGGGGGGCGCGGGTACCGGGCTCGGCGAACGCACCTCCGCGTGAAAACTGGCGCACGATTTGTATGAGTCGCGAGGAGCGGAGGCGATGAGTACCAACGATTGATTTGATATTATAAATATTATAGTTGCGATGAGGACAGCTCGTATTATAGACGACTATAGTCACCTGAATACCAAACACAGTGCCTCGCGTTTTGAACTACATCAAAATTTATAAATTAATCTTTTTATAAGCTTTCGCAACCTTCGAAGTTTTAGGAAGAGGTGTGAATTCAAATTAAATATTATATCCATATTATTATGATGTAATTATCATAAACACATTATGTACAGCCATGTAATATGTGGCCATAAACAAGTGCAGATTTTAAAATACCATTTGAATACTACAAAAAACTGCATAACATCACAGCGCTCATCAACTCCGCTTAGTTAAAAATAATTTTCTCATGTATGTTTAAGTGTTGCGAAAATATCATTTATATCAAACTATATAGAAATTAGAAACGACCCAACCAATTAAGATTAAGAGAAACAACCCACTTAATTTTATTATTATAAATATTTTACATTCAAAAAGTTAAAGTCCCGCAGATCCCTGTTATTCTAATGGTTATAATTTTTAGATGAAATAAAAATGTCTGTGATATTTCAGCAACATGTTCGTATGAGAAGCTAAAAAGCATTAGGATTAAGGTTGAATTCAGAAAGTATACACAGATCACTTACTATTTTCATACTCCCTCTTATCTTAAAAACTTCATTAGGTGCTTACCGATGTATATTTATTGCCATATACATACATCGGTAGATTACATTCTTCATGTGGTATTCGAGTAAGGAATCTGTGTACTTACAGGTTGTGGGCACAGAAAATCTAATGTAACGAGCAACCGTATCAGTTTGAAGATAGAACAGTATTTTAAGTAAGTGTAATGTGTAACGTGAAAAAGTAATTTGAGCGAAACTTTTTTTGAATTTCAATTATAAGTGGTGATCACCTCTTGGTAATATTATTTAGTAACCAGCACTGGTCAATTTGCATATTGCAAGCAATCTGGAATGTTTCATATAAAATTTTCTTTTGGAATTTATTTTATGCGAACTAAAGTGCATTTGCATCTACAACGTCACATTTTTTTTATAATTTTGAGAAAAAATACACGATAAAAAGAGTGATGTGATTAATGTGTCCATGTATTGCCTTAACAAATGATATCACAGAAAGCAACAGGTGATGGTTTTAAATTTTATATTAATGACAGTATGCAATGCAATAAATAATAACATCCCAGCTTGCTTTATGCAGGTAATCACCTAACATCAAAAAGCTCATGCATCTTACCCCTTTTTCGGCTCTGCAGTGGCTGGTCTAAGTGTTTCCTTGATCTCGACTTTCACGGCCTTAGGGGCCGCTTCATCCTGCAGCACAGCATTCAGGATCTGTTCCGCTCTCTCTTCGTGATAGTCCACGCTCTCTAATGCCAAAGCTATTACTCTTTCCGCTATGCCAGTGTATTTCTTCTGAAGTTTTTCTTTTACTGTAATAATAAGAGGAAATGTAATGGCCAAATTAAAGCGTGAACTTACGAATCTTGACAAGTATTAAGGTAAAGTAAAAGTTTTTCCAATTCTTTATGTACTTTAGATACCACTGGTAAAGGAGGAAACCGACTTATCCAAACTAATATTATAAATGCGAAAGTAACTCTGTCTGTCTGTCTGTCGGTCTGTCTGTCTGTCTGTCTGTCTGTCTTTCCTTCACGCCTAAACTACTGAACCGATTACAGTGAAATTTGGTACAGACATAGTTTGGAACTTGAGAAAGGACATAGGATAGATTTTTATACAAAAAATTAGCAGGAAGTCACTATTCCACGCGAACGGAGTCGCGGGCAAAAGCTAGTAGTTTATAATTATAAGTTTGAAATCGCCAATCCGCCTTGAGCAAGCATAGAGATTTAAACCTCAATCCTTCTGTGCCTCATGTGAGAAGAGGTAGTTAGAACTTTGCTTAGCAGTGGACATTTTATAGGTTGATGACGAATAAAGTTTATAAATGGTTCATTGGTCTAGAGATGTCGCAGTCTAGTGGCATTGAATCTATAATAATATTATGTTACAAATTTCGTAAGACAATGAAATAAGTTGAGTTTATTTCCATAAACCAGGTTGGCCTATGGTGTATGACAGACAAGAAGTTCAGCCCTAAAATATGGGCCTTACTTTGGCGTTACCAAAGTATGATGTTACATTAATAATAATTGTTTTCTAAAACTATACTTACATTCACACTTTTCGGCGAAAGTCTTCATAATAGTGACGACTTTCTTCTGTGGTTGTGGTGTGGGTTCCTTCTTCTGCGTGGAGATTACCGTTTCCTTTTTACTGAACCCCATGCCTATTAACTCCTCGCTCGCTTTCTGAACATTGTTGTCTTTATTGGCTAACACATCCAGAATCAGCGTCTCTTCAGCCTTTGGGAATATACTCTTGAGGTACCTGTAGTTTCAAATTGTTATTTAGGTCAATTTTAATATCGTTTTACTTAGTTTTAAAATAGGTCTTCAGTAGCCAAGTTCTAATAAATAAGTTATTGAAACTGCATGTTAGGTTCTTCGAGAATATAAGTATCGCAAACCTTTTCAAAAACAAAGTTATATCGTATTTCGTTATTGTTCTTTTGTAGAACCACTATCACCATCCCCAGTTGGGTAAACACAGGACGGCATTATCATCAACAGTTGAGAGCGGCGGTGTACACTTAACCATCGCTTTACCGACAGTTTTCTGCCTATAACTTCTAACATGGTTCTCACATCTACAATTTCCAGCTGTTATATTTAAATTAAATTTTTCAGTCACCAACATCCGTCATTATCATAGATACTGTCAGCGAATTTAAGAGATTACTTTGATAATTTCGTCAATGATAAAATAGTTCTATCATGATAAACGAATACTTACAACCGTAACAATAAAGATTTATATATGAAAGATTTATATACATCTTATAAATAACTGAAGTATAGCCGATTCATTATGTATAATCTAATTTGTTATTTCTCGGGTATACAGCTGCATAACTGTTGTGAAATTGTATGAAATGTTAGAACAGTTACACAATCCGTGGACCTTGTATTGTATATCGTGAGAAAAAGCGATCATTTTCTTGTTTTAAGTACCATACTTGCTGTCAAACTCATAAAATAGATTTTTACATACATTGATCAAATGTTTTTGATGATTTGGATTCCCGGAAACCACCAAAAAAGAAAAAAATAAAGTTCGCTATGATCCCAAAGATTAGACGATGCAGAGTTCATAAAATATTCATAGATTCATTCTTAAACATAGATTCTCAAAGAATTAAAGTGCGAGGAGTTGTGGAGTTGATACGTAGTGATATACTACTCTGTCAAGAAAGTACCGGGAAAAAGTCAATAATACACAAAATGTTTGTTATTCATCTAAATTTATTTTATCACCTTCAAAGTATGCTCCTTCATAAACGCTGTTTCCGGAATTGAGTTCAGTGGTCGCCGCGAATTCTCCTTTATGTCTTCTAACGATTGAAAACGGGTGCCACGAAGGGGTAATTTGAGTGTGGGAAAAAGAAAGAAGTCGGCTGGAGCCATATCTGGTGAATATGGTGGCTGCTCGATGGTGTTTGTTGAGTGTTTGGACAAAAAATCGTTTACAATGATGGCCTTGTGCGAAGGCGCATTATCGTGATGCAAAATCCAAGAATTTTCTTTTCGCATTTCTGGCCTTTTTCGTCGAATTTGTTCTCTTAAACGCCGCTCAAAATAATATTATTTATTTACCGTTTGACCTTCGGGCAAGAATTCTGTGTGCACAACACCGCGATAGTCAAAGAAAACAGTCAACATGACTTTGACTTTTGATCGACTACTAGTTTGCATGTCAAACTCGTAAACCCACGTCTTGTCACCAGTAACAATGCGTTTCATGAATGTTGGGTCGGTATTGACTCGTTCTAGCATGTCCTCAGCGACTTTCATGCGATTTAGTTTTTGAAGAAAATTCAGGTCTTTTGGGACTAGCCGAGCGGCAACACGTTTTATACCCAAATTATTTGTTAAAATGGTACGGATCGACTCGTGAGATACAGAAAGTTCGGCGGCCATCTCTCTCAAACTTGAATGAGGATTTTCAGTCACTATTTCCTTCACTTTTGCGATGTTAACTTCAGTTGCAGACGTTGATGGCCTACCAGAACGAGGCAAATCTTCCATCACATCTCGACCGCTTTTGAACGCTTTGTACCACTCATAAGCACGTGTTTTTGATAAAGTCCATTCACCGTAAGCCTTCTGTAACATTTTGAGTGCCTCCGAACACGAAATTTCATTGGTGATGCAAAATTTAAGACAAACTCTTTGTTCGATGTTTTTGTCCATTATGAAATTCGCAATACACACTAGATATTATAAAACTAAAAACAGCACTGTTTTTAATATAAATAACAGATGCAACTCAAATTCCGCGCCAAAATGGAAAACAGTTATGCCAATCTAACAACAATAAAAAAAACATTCATTCCCGATACTTTGTTGACTGAATGTAGGTACAGCAAAGGACTAAGGGTGACGGTCTCCCAGCAGAGATTCGAGTCTGTAGGTATAGCTCTAAAGCCATGTCTTTATACGACAAACAGATCAAGCCGATGTGCTGATATTCATGGAATGAGTCAAATGTGTTTCGCAGAGTGTCTATCACATTAGCAATTGGAGGAGGAACTTATGGTGGAATTCCGCAAATTATATTTTTATTTAGCGTTGGGTGTCAGTATTTTTTAATTTCTTTGCTACCCAATAATATGGTAATAAATCCAAGTAAACATAGTTTTTTACATTATTGCAGGATTTATTCGATTTTTCTGTTAATATATTTTATTAGATAAATAGCTGACGTGGCGAGCTCCATACCACTTAGAACTACCTACCTAAAGTATTTTTTTTTTAATATTAATGTCAATTATAGAAAAGTTCGTTTGTGAAAGCATCTGATTGTGAAACTGAATGAAAAAGAGTAACCATGATGTTTCTTGGTCAGTCTTCTCCATCGCAATCTACACTTTAGTCGGTCTTTCATTTAGCGACACCTACTACCGAACCGAATTCATGGATCAATGTATACATATAAAAATGAATACCGTTTTCCCTCATTCGTGGTATCACGCGTGAACGGCTTGACCAATTCTGACCATTATTTTTATGTTGTTTTCACAACGACATAGAATTTGCAACTACATAGTTTATACATATTATATAGACATAGTCTCTCTTAACGAGAAACTCATGATATAACTGGCTAAGTGCATATGTACCTCTCGGAGAGCATTGCCGAGACAACTTGACGTTATCTTTCTTTTCAGTCGGTCTGGTTTATGGTTCATCACTTACTTGAGCTTCATTTTAGGGCTCTGGTGTCGCGGCGGCTGACCGTCAATAGACCTGGCACCGTAGTAACTGGAAGCCCCAGATGCTGGTCGCAATAATGATGGAGAGCCTGCAAAGGTCAAATCAAACCTTAACTGAACAATATGTATCATTCTAATCAGCCATAAGTATATACATTGCTGATCAAAGACCTTTTCAAAGATCTTTTAGACCGCTAATCCTTAGGAAATTTGTCGTATTTTAAGTAATAGGCAACTTTCGCTTATACGTTGAGCAACTGGCAAGGTTAGGTTATAGAGTCTTAAACGAATGCTGCGTTTTCGGATGCAATAACACAAGTAACATACTATAAAGCGATATGGCAAAATATCGATGTTTATTTTGAAAAAGTAATAACATTAAGTATGAATAATATCATGTTAGTTATATTACCTACGCTAATAGCTAGTTGTATGTATGACCGAAAGATTCTCACCATGTGGTGTACCAGTCAATGGTGTGAAATGACTGGACCCTGGTATTGAACCAGACATGCCTTTAGCAAGTTGTAAGGCGGAATGTAGTCCACTACCCTTCTGCAACCGAACAGCAGACGGCGACATAGTCAGAGGTCCCGGAGTAGTGATAGGATGTTTTTCCACCTGGAGTGCGGATATCACTACTGCTTCTCTGTTGTAGTACCTGTGAACATAGTGTAATGGAGTGCAGTCGCGCTTTGATTAGCTTACCTATATTGCGTTTGCAAAAGTCATTCTACAACAAAATCGCTAGGTTAATACTTTCGCTTTTAGAATTTGTAAAAGAATACACATGCAAAAACACAAAAACTTACTTTTTCAACAATATCTTGATGTGTGTCTCGCTTACAGTTGGAAACATTGCGCTTATCTTGGCGACCAAAGCATCAGTATCTGATGTAAGTGTTAATGAGTCTTGGAACTTTTCGTTCAAGTGGGAGACTCTTCCTGGTACCGGACTGCCTCGAGGAGTAAGGCATAGTGCCCGGCCCAATATTGGACTGTCATTTGGCGTTCCGTATGCCCGCGGATCCTGACGAAGTTCGAATAAAAAGATATTAGTGCTAATCATAATAAGATGAATACTACTTTTTGTGCTTTTTGTGTCAATATTTTAAACAATATACTCAAGCAAGTGGCAAGTGAAATATAAAAAGAATTTAGCATAAGAGGTGATACGAAGATCACTTGCAGTAAGTGTTATAAGTGTTTGATTTCTCTGGCGACTAGTTTCTACCCTGCACCTTTAAGTATTATCATGTCACATCTAGTCACTTGTTATAATCACAGCAGTTAATAAATTATACTCCTTCACCAGTGTAAACAAAAGCACAAAAGTGTACTTACAAGGTGCGGTTTGAGCCCCTTTGGATGAAACATCTTGGGGCTGTGCTGGGTGCTCTGGAACGCATGCTGGAGCCGTACGGGAGAGGGGTACGGGTGTACGTGATATGGTGACCCATGTGTAGACTGCTAGTTCCAATGTACAGACATGGGTGGACAAACACCACTGTGAACAACCGTGTTGTTGGCATAGCTTAACCTTATACTTACAGAGTAACAAGACATAACTTGTCATGTGTTTGAATTAACATTCATAGTACTAATTTAATTCTTATTATAAAAATCAATCATTAGTCATTGAGCCGAGTTTCATCGTTTTTTCTTGAAATAATGTAAGAATAGCTATGCCAACTAGTGCTTCCACACTGTGAATAAAATAAACTATTTTTACAAATATATGCACAATGTTTTTAAGCCACAATTTCAATTTCTGTGATGCATTTACAATATTAAGGTAGGCACATGTTTGATATGAATTTTGACCTTCTCGAATTGAGGTGTAGGTCTTTGGTTGAAACAAGATAAAATATTCAGATTTAACATTGAATATTGTACATCAGAAGATAATAATCTTGTTTCCCATAAGTTATGTTTTCACTAGATTTTCCTTTAAATACAAAGTGCTTTATTGTACAAGTATTTGCATTAGAATAGCTGTGCAGCAAATTTTATACATTTATATACATTGCTCACACAAAAGTGCAATAAATTTGTAAATGGAAATACTTTGAAGTGGTCAGCCTGGTAGCCGTTATAGCAGATGCCCCAACGAATCCGGCTCTTCATGGCTGCTAAAAATACTTAATTTTAACCAATGGCAAATTATATCTGAAATTCAAATAAACATTACACATTTGGTGATTAATGATAAATAAAGAGTACATACCTACAACACTTTTGTCAATTATTAAAAAGAATATCAACAATAAAATTGAAATCTCAGGTACCAGACTGAATATAAAACAGAATTTAATGTAAAGTAGCAAAACCTTTTTTTCTTGAGAAGTTTAATAAATTAGAAACATCGCCAGGTATGTTTTAAATTATTCGCGGAACGCCGTTCCAAGTGACTGAAAGTATTTTTTAAGATGCCTTACAATGTTATTATTATTTTACCTGAGGGTGTATACACTCCAAGGCAATGTGGTGAGCCGCGCTCTGTAGGGTCTTATGTTTGGACCTCAACTCCTCCATTTCAACCGTCGCAAAACACAATCAAAACACACTCAACATTAGAACACTTTATTAAGAATAATTAAAGAGGATTATTACATCTTTTCACAAACTAAACAATGACAATGATCTCATTAAAAGTTAAAATTCAATGAAAGCTTTTTAACTTTGCGACCTGTATCCATAAATGCCATTATTTTTCAAATAGACAAATATTTCCCTCTTATTTTGACTTCGTGAAGGAATACAAAAACTACCTTTGATAGGCTACTAAATTAAAAACCTCATTGTGTCGTAGGGAAAACGAAAAATAATGGTCGCTATGGAAGACTTTTTAAATCGGTCGTCTTATAATGCGTACGATGGCGTTCGGATAATCAATAATTTAACGCAGATCGCGCAGTTTATAGACTCTTTGAAGCTTTAAAGCATAGAGAAGCGATACGTAATAATTTGTCTGTGGCTCTTCCTTGTTGTTTCATGGAGTATAGAGATGAGGAGTACTATTAAATCATCATTAATGTCGCATGCCTATAAGTTAATATAGTACTATTATAACATTTTACTTGATTGTACTAATATTGGGGAAAAGGGAAAAATATGACATTACACTGTTGATATTTCATCTCAACAAAAATTACGTTCTATTCTCAAAATATTACGTAAGAAAGAACCAACGGCAGTTTGTGGCAATAAGGTAAGGTGGCCTCAGCTTGGAGTAGGAGAAGGAATGGAGAAGATTTTAGTCAGGAAGGGTCTGACAATCTTTCTGGCTAAAAGTTATTTAGCACCCCAAAGAAAATAAAATTGTTTGCTTCCTCAAAATAAAAAGGCTTTTTATAGACAAATTAACTTTAAAATTTTATTATCTGACATAAAAATTCATAAGTAATATTTAGGTGGAAGTTCCCAAATTAAAGAAACCGGCTCCTGGCGACTCCTGGCTTCGAAGTGCGAATTTATAAAGGCATACGAAAAAACATATATTTTATTTAAAATATCAATTATTCAAGAAAAGATCAAGTTATACAAAAATTATTTAGAGTATATAGGTAATCAGTTTTGTATCGTAAATGTAAATCATGGTCAATTTTACAGTATGCTGGTACTCCTTACAGATATACTCCGTGCTGTTGAGTGAAAATATACTGTCAGTCAAAATATGTTGTCATTTATTTGCATGGATCATGGAGGAATTAAATATATCTATGGCATAAAGCTTAGCCATAGAAAAGTTCCTCCATGGGTCTAAGACATGGGGGAACTTTTCTAATAATAGTACAGTTCATTCCTACATGACAGACGTACCTAATTCCTTTAGTTTAAAGGGGAAGTGTCCACTCCCGACCAAGAAACCTACTTATACAATTTCCTTGGTCTCGACTTGATAGTCGATCACAGAACTGGTGCGTACCTATAATATGTGGAACGATAGGTAGGAATGTTTATTATGAAAATAAAGTAAAATAAATATTTTTGCTATTTTAACAATTATATTCACTTCTTAACGACTACTGAGTTTAATTGTAATAGAGATCGGGACGAAGTGGCCCAGTCACAATTGTGTTTAAAGTGTTTAATTAATTTATAATAAAAACCAAAATATCCAATTAAGTATGTAAAAATATTATGTCTCACCATTTATCACTTTTTCATTTGATTTCTGCATAATTTACTAATTTAGTTTAGTTGCTTAGTCTGGTAACATTCACTACGCGCGAAATCAGTTGGCGGGCGGATCAATATTCACCTTTCAATAGCTTCTTTCACTCAAAAGTATTTTCTGTTTAGTTTTGCTTTTTAAATTTTAGTATTCGTTCGTCCATCGTTGTATGCTGTATACCCAGTCAAAGTTAGTCTATTTATCACAATGATTGATTTTCCTCCTAAATATAAATAAATATTTGGTGAATTTGGGATCTATTTTTCTAGCCAGGTGAGTTCAAATAAATATTTTTATTTGTATAAATATTGTTTTCATAAACCTAATTTAGTTATGACAATTTAAAAAAATGCAAAATTAGATTGTTACTACTTGCACATAATTTCAACTTTTCTATAGGTAAAGCAAACATATTATAATTAATATAATATGAAAACTAATTTTGATTTTAAATTCTAACAAGTTATCTAAAGTTATTGGTAAATATTAAAATAAATGGATTAATTATACTTTCTAAGTTCAGGAGACTAGATCAGGGCTTCCCATTAATTGTTCCATTGCCCCGTAAATATCACACTGTTTCCTTGTATAAACAACACCCAAACTGGTTCTTTTATTTAAATAATATAAAAAAAAACTATTACATAGTACCTAATATAGTGATGGGCCGAGTCGTCTTTTTGATAACTCGAGTAACTCGAGTTGACTCGTTAACCAACTCGGGCTGCAACTCGAGTTGACTCGACCCGATCTGCCATAAGATACGTCGCGTCGTTCGCCGCGTTGTCCGTTCGAGTTAGTAAACGCTCGACTCGGTGCATCGTTCTGCGGGTTGCTAGTTTGCTTGTCGAGCCCGACGGGCTGTGTGGGGTCGAGTCCATGCTAATGATAGTTAAATAAAATAAGTTTGTCAAAAAATCAGACTTTAATGTTATTGAAAGTTGTAAGATTATAAACATTAAATCACAAAGCGAACTACTTATGTGGCGCAAAAGAATGGTAACAATTTTACCTAGAAACTAAAACAAATCAAATAGTACTTTAATCCTTAAATTAAACACACACAGTACCTATAAAAAGCAAATCACAGTCATAACACTCATTTCTGAATGAATCTAATAATCTAAAATGAATAATAAACGTAATTAAGGCTCTTATTTCTAAATAAAATCACAGTACCTAATAACACTCATTTCTGAATGAATATAAAAATATAAAATGAATAATAAACGTAATTAAGGCTCTTATTTCTAAATAAAATCACAGTACCTAATAACACTCATTTCTGAATGAATATAAAAATATAAAATGAATAATAAACGTAATTAAGGCTCTTATTTCTAAATAAATCACAGTCATAACACTCATTTCTGAATGAATCTAAAAATCTAAAATGAATAATAAACGTAATTAAGGCTCTTATTTCTAAATAAAATCACAGTCATAACACTTATTTCTGAATGAATATAAAAATCTAAAATGAATAATAAACGTAATTAAGGCTCTTATTTCTAAATACATAAATACCAGTCTTACTGTTAACAATATTTTTAAGTCTTTATATTTTAAAAAATAGTGTATAATGGCACTTGTTGTTTTAGTCTTACTTAATTTCAACAATACTTTGTAGCAATAACGTTGGATGTTCGTACTTTTATAAAATTTGCAAAAAGTAACTATACCTAATAAAAACAACTCTAAAATGTTTATAACAACAACACATACCTTATTAGGTTTTCTAATACAATCTATATTAGGAACAAATGGAAGAACAAAAAGCAAATAATATTAATAAAATAAAATATTATAAAAAATCTTACTAATCACGGCGCCGCGTACACAATCACGATAATTATAGGACCGTGATAAAATATGAATTGAGATTTGAGATGATATTCAAGACTTCCCTTTACAATACGAATTCAAGAACAATATTTGGTCTAATTTTTTTGGCTTAAGCCTATTCCTCCTTTGGTTTGTAACCAAACCAGCCTTAGAAAAAAGTCGCTCTGATGGGACAGAAGAAGCTGGTATGCACAAATACTTAAAGGCTATTCGATAAAGGGTTGGAAAAATATGTTTCCTTTGTTCCCAGAATTGTAGCGGATTTTGTTTTCTGTCTAAGTAAGGCAAATCTAAATATTGTTTCAAAACAATTGAAGCGGATGATATGGGTGTTTGTTGTGTTACAGTTTCATTTAGTTTTTTGTCTAAAAAATCCCAAATTTCATCATCTGTAGAAGTCTGCGCCGTAGATGTAGTAGGTAACTGATTTTCTTTTTCAAGTGGTTGGTCTTGAGCTAGGTATTGAGCACACTCCTCAAGGACGAATTTAACCGCATTCTCGGCATTGCTCTCTACACCAAAACCTTTTTTTTTAAAACGTGGATCCAGTAAGGTGGCTTTTGCTGCTGTTCTGTTGGACTCATAGACACTTAATCTTCTATCAATGACTTCCAGCAGCGACCGCTGAACATGTCTTCCGGCTTCGGTTTTTGGAGACTTATTTTGGATTGAACTTTGTAGTCCTCTGACAATTGGTATAATACACGATAGCGTCGGATACGATTCGCCAGATAACACGGACGTGACTTTTTCCATTGGCTGTAAAAGAGCAACACAGTCTTCTATTATCAACCAGTCCTCTGAATTCAAACTTGGCGGAGGTGATGTGAGCAGAGGTAATGTTGCAGACAGGGGAACTTTGGCTCTTAGCAATCTCTGTAACATGTAAAAAGTGGAGTTCCACCTCGTTTGGACGTCTTGTTTTAGTTTGATTATTTCTAAATTCATTTGCGTTTGCATTTCTCTAAGTGCATTTGAGGATTTTGTACTCTGCTTAAAATGCGTAACGATGGCACGACTTTTTGAAATAACATTTATGACATCGCTATTTTTCAAATGTGGGTATACGTCACTTTCTGCTTGAATGCAGTCTTTGACTGCTAAATTTATAGTGTGCGCAACACAGAAATGATTTCTTTTATTTAAGAAATCCTTAATAGCTTTTTTCATACTTGAGGCATTGTCGGTCACAATAGTAACAATTTTTTCAAAAATGTTCCATTCGTTTAAAATGTTGCGCAAAGCGTTTGCTATGTTTAAAGACGTATGCTGGTCAGCAAGTTCGGATGTTGCAATTATAAGTGATTGTAACTTTGAATTTTCTATAAAATGGGCAGTTACACTAATGTAACTTTTTTGGCTGTCTGATGTCCAAATGTCTGTGGTAAGAGCAATATACTCTACACTCTGTAATTTTTGTTTCGCTTCTGAACTGCATATGTTGTATTTTTCTTCCATCATTTCTGTTAATTTTTTTCTAGATGGCAATACATAATCAGGATTCAATTTTTTTGAATAAGCTATAAAACCTTCATTTTCTACAATTTGAAGGGGTTGCATGTCTATTGTGATGAGATCCAATAAGGCTTCATCACCAGCTTTTTGAATTATCCTATATGGGGCAGTTAATCGCATCTGTCTCGCCCGCTTTGGAGGAGGCTGGAGAGGCTCGGTAGAAGAACCGCCGACAGTATTATTTTCTTCCCGATTCTCCGTCACAGAAACTCCGGAGACACTTGGCATCGGCAAGCCATCACGGTCACTACTACTTGCAAAGTCGTTCCTGGGCCTGGGTAAATTTGCAACAACGCCAACAGCTTCACTATATTGGATAATGTGTTTTTTTTTTAG